TAGAAGAAGAAACGAGCATGCCTTGAAAAAAATCTAATTTGTAATTAAAATTATTTAATGTAAGAATTAAAATAAATAAAAAGTAAAGTAAAAATTTGGGTATGGGTGAGTGGTAGAAAATTGGGAAGAAGAGAAAAAAGAAAGAAATTTTTAAAAAATGGTAAATAAATTTATGAATAAATACCTTGACTAATTAAGAGGAGTATATGTGTTTTTTTAAAATAGATTTAAGATCATATTTTGAATTTTAGTAGTAGGGTCTAGGTCATATATATTTTACTTAACATTGTGATTAAGATTGATCTTATATTGATTAATTAAAAAAATTGATCCTTCTACTAGTGATGTAATGTTACGTAATTCCTCAATATTAAAGTGAAAATTAAAAATGCAAAAAGAATGAAATTGGTCTTTTAACCCCTCAAAATAATAACACATACATCATAATTTTTTATATATAATAATAGTAATAATATTCAAAATTAATTGCGTGTGAACACACCATTTTTTATAATATTAAAACAAAATATAAAGTAATAATATAAAAGGATTTTGCAATGTTATCTTAAACTCTTAAATCAATCGTCCAGAGTTAGAGATTGATGGTAACAAGCTAGAACAATTGATTTTGAGGATCATTAAGACACAGAGAATCATTTTTTATACAGATACATTTTGAAGTGATAATGGTGGATGAGTGCGAATCCTTCTGCAAGCAAAGTTGTTCTCATGCTCAGTCATAGTAGACAAGTGAAGTTTAGACAGCGATACAGATTTCCAAGAACTATTTTTGCTTTCACAATTAGAAACTACAACTGGAAGCCCTTCACCGACTGTCATTAAGCACTTCTTAGTGCCATGTAAAAGGATTTCATTCCCATTGCCTCCATGAACCCATATGTTATTGGTCTCACAGCTACTAAGTCCAACTTCACTCTTCTCATTCACTTGATCACATTCACCAGATAATGGGTGGTACAAGATATTTACAATGGAGGCCTTGGAGATAGGTTTTGCACAAGAACACACAAGTTATGTTATTGCAAAAATAATTCATATTCATGGTTATGAATGTAATAATGCATCATCACCAAACTCATTCGTTTAACTCAAAAGTTATACTTAGATTCTTCCTTTGCAAAAGTTGGAACTTGCGAGTGAAGTTGGGATCTCTCAAGTGGTGCCAAGTCCTATCCATTAAACCAAATGACTCCTCAACTTGGACCGTGTCACTCTTTAAATAGTAGCGACCCTGAAAAACCCATAAACTCTAGTCCAAATCTTTTCCAACAAGATAGGTTTTAAGGCAAGTCAAGAACCTGGCTGGCTCATTAACCCAAACTTTGTAAAAATCAAAGGAGCTACATTCTTGTTAATGGTGGCTCATTAACGCAAACTATGAAAAAATCAAAGGAGTTGCATTCTTGTCAGTGGTGAGAAATTCAGTTATGTCCTCTATCCCTTTAATACTGTCGGCACATATCCTATTCACTGGTTGTTTTGTCCATATCTCTCTCAATTTCAGGGTTCCAATTCCAGACCATGAATACGAATGTGTCTCAAACACCATTTTCTTACCCAAATCTATCGTTATTGGTTTACTCTTTAAGAACTGCAACTCAGTATCATAGTTCAATATGGAAATATCCACAGGCACATAGTTTAATCACTGCTGATTTGCTCATGTACCTATACCAAATCATACAAATTTTGTCGTGGACCATGCAATTCATTCCTCATGCACATTGTCACAATCTGTTTGCATACACAAAATAATACTTATATCCATTATCTTAATAAAAAGATTAAGAAAACTATAATATAGATTGTTTAAGCAAAAGAGAAATATACGTAGAGTATGGTTTTCATTGAAGTGTTTGGCTGTCAATGTAAGACCATGTACCCATTCTTGAGGATTAAAATGTCTATCATGGAAGAAACAATTTTCATCATCATCATTACATCACCACTTTGACTCACTCACGTAGTTATCAAACAACACTTTCACATTCTGAATCTCAAGTTCACGAACAACAGAATCAAAGACCTGAACATGTGTCATGGATAACACAAAAGGGTTGTTTTTAGCAATGTCTTGGACCATACCTGGTATATCCAAAGAGATAAATGTGACATTGATATTGTCGTAGACAAAACGTGTCCACATGTAGATTGCATAATTGAGACACACGCAGTTGAACTTGTGCTTACAATCTCACCAATGATGTCCTTCAAGGACCTTTTGTCAAGACCCTCAGGAATCATTGGTTGGAGGTGGTCAGTCCAATTAGTACATACTAACTTTGCACGTTGCATTGTGCCTTCATCTGTGATCCATATCTTCTGTGTCGATAAAAGGAATGTATTCGAATGTGATGCAGAGATGAATACAAACAAAATAAAGAAGAGGACAAGAGCTTAAGGTATTCGAATTCTCTTAACATTTTTTTTAATGAATTAAAAATTAACATTTCAACTCGACGAAGAAACATACAAATATATAGTTTTTCTATTTAGGAACTAACTAACAATGTTAAAAAAATCTCTCTATGTCCAGTTATCAATAGATCCCAAACGTTTTTTTATGATCAAAAGTTTCCTGTGTGGGAGTAACTCCTTTTACCTTCCTTTCATGTACTTGTTTTCTGTTGAAATGCAATTTCTTTATTTATATGTTCTGGTTAGAGAACGAGTAACAAATAAAATCTTCATCAAATCCACACAAAAGTTTGCTATTTGAAAACCGGACCCAACCTCGGTTCAACCCAAAACCAATACAAAAATTGGTTAATGATCATATCCTAATTGAATTAATATAAAATTAATACAAAATTGATAAAATAAGTTAAATTTTTGGGTCTAATAAAAAATTTAGAAATAAATTTTTTGAATTTTAAAAATACATTTTTTTTATAAAAAATACAATATGTTTTTAATTTTTTTCTTTATTTTACAAGAGTCATATCACTTTTACTAATTATTTTAATATGATTTCATCTTCTTTTTAGGATTTGTTTCTGTATTTATATTTATAATCTTTGTTATATTTATAATAATCATGATAATAATTTTTTAGTAATTATATTATAAAATTATTATTTTATTAAATCCATTAAACTCTAATTAAATTATTAAATCATGAATCGATATATTCACGTATTTTAACGTATTTAAATTTTATTCACATATTTTAAACGATCAGTTAAATGTTTAACTAGACATGGTCGCATGTGGAAAAAAATATATGTTAGTTAGTTATGGATAACTACGAGACTCTTTTTTTATTATTTACTAAAATAATCTCTTTAAATATAAAATATATTATATTTAAATTTTTAAAGACCCATTCTTTTAAAATTAAAAATCGTTGAGTCATTTTCTGTTGAACCATATTTGAATATTTAATTGGAGAAGAGATGAACCGATCCACAATCCTTCGAAGGATGCCTATTCACAAATGAGTACAATTGAAAGCGTCCGATTTAAGGGGTTTTGAAAATATATTCTGTCAACAATTTTGACTTCTAAAAATAGGGTTCATTAAAAAAACTAATTAAATAAATAATATTTTTGTATTTATAGAAATTTTCCAAGTTAAAAATAAAACAAAAGAGTTACCTCACGTAGATATTTAACTTTTGTATTTATTCCATAAAATTAATATTTTGCAGTTATACTAAAAAAATATAATAGTACAAACATTTTTAATGGAGTTTCTAACAAAAATTATTTAAAAAAATAAATAATTTATCATAAATTATAATTTAAATTGTTTAAAATAAAATAAAAATATTTTTATAAATAATTTTTACCATATTTAAAAGACTAATTCATTTTAAAATTTGCTATAAAAAATGTATAATAAATTAAAATGTGACTAATAATCTTATGTTAGCATTTAATAACATAATTAATAAATATAACTAAAATTTAATGAGATTGTAATTATTATATGAACACATATCAATTTTTGTTATTACATCAAAAACAAAATTTGACCATATAAAAAATATTATATATAGTATTCAAACTTTAATTTAATTATGATACAAATATTTTATTAAAACTTTTATATCTTTTAAATGTTAAAAATGAATACATTTATTTCAATTTCAGTTATCATATTACATATTTTTAATTTTATTTCATATATTTTTAATCATTACATTATTTTTTATTAATACTAATTTAATATAAATTTAACATCAATTAAATCATTAAATCTTGAATAATGCATCACAATCCAGAATGAAAACTTTAATATAGTTTACTTTTCAGTTGCACCACGTGTCCTATCGAGAAACACAAAAACCAAACACGCACACAACATCCACAACTATGATGATAGTTGGTTACGTGTCACATTCCCATTGGGCCTTATTTTCCAAGTGTTTATTTTCTTTTTCTTTCTCCATTTTAATAACTTAATATGTACTTAAAAAAAATACACTTTACTTTTGTAAGGAATATTTTTATTTTTAACATAATAAAAATTATCTTAATATTATTATTAAAATATTGTTATAAAAAGGAATAAAAACATTGTTATCTTAATATTATTATTAAAATATTGTTATATTTTCTTCTGCAATATTTGCACAAAAGAAAGTAAAGAAAAATATGTTATAAAATATAACGTAAAAAAATATCTAAATAATATAATTGTGAAATAAATATTACTTGAAGAATCAAAGGACCAAAGCCTTGAAAAGCTTTCCATTAACTTCTAGAAACTCAATTTAGAAGAAGAAAAAGTTCAGTTATTTTTGCAGATTCTTTACAAACTTAACTTTAACCAAAATTGAAGTTAGTAAATTTGTACGTAACGCGTTGATGTTTGATAAGATCCAACTATGACATTAAGTTCATATTAATAAGAACACGATCATAATAATAGTAATATTATGTTACAAGAGAGGGACAGGAACAGTAAATTTGGTAAAGCTTACATAAAAAATGGCATGTCCTGTTACTATTGTTGTCTTTCCTGAAATCTTGACATCCATCATTGCTGCTTTACTATCAGCAGTGCTTTGCCATTGCACGTGTGTTGAAAGTTTGAAGTCAAAGAGCACTCTGATCACGACTGAGATGATAGGGCCAAACATCATGATGACCAAGTGTTGATAATTTCCTCACAGCCGAAAGGTACATGTCGTGGTTTATGATACAGTCCAAAAATCATTGCAACTTGAAATTTGACCAGTTAAAGCGCCAACAATGTGAGAAGACAAAAGAACCAAGTAACTTAGATGCATTTCACCACATGCCATTACGTCACAGAAAAAGACCAGATTGGTAAAAGTTTCATCCAAGACACACCACACCTCCTACCATTTTTTTCTTCATGTAATCTGCAAGTTGTAAGCAATAGGGTCCTGATTGGATAAACTCTTCCATAAATACTTATAGAAAAAGAAAGCAAGTAAGTAAACTTCTTTTATAAGAAATTTATATCATTTTTCTTTATAAAATATTTATGAAAAAATTATCCAATCATGACCTTAGAATCACTCAAAAGCTTGACACTTCTTGTCGAGTAAAGAAGTGGCCAGAAGGGGAACCATTTGGCAAGAGTGCTAATCTCACAACACTAGCAGCACCATTTTCAACAGATAAGATGCCAGTGTTTTTGTTAATGTCTGTTTTAACAAAACCAGGACAGACACAATTGATGCACAATTTTAGGTGTCTATAAGCCAGAAGCCTTGTGTATGAATTCATTGCTGCTTTTGAGACCATATATGCAGACAGGTAGGTTGGCCACCCTTTGTTTTCTAGTGAACCTTCTTTCAGATCTTTCATGTACTCCTCCAGCACCTCATCTATTAGCTCTTCAGTGAGATTTTCAGTGTCATCAAGCACCCTCCTAGCCCATCCATTTGATATGTACTGAAATACACCATATGTAGCAATTTTTTTTTTTAATGTTGTTGAGGTATTATAACATCTAGTTTCAAAGAATATAATTTTATTAAACTATATTTAGTATATTCTGATTGGTGAACTGTGTAAAAATCTTTAAATTTAAAGTATATTAAAGAATTCAAAATTATGTTATTTTTGTACCTTCAGAAGTCCTGCTTCAGAGGAAACATTAACAATCATGGGTAAATTGGATAATTGAAGAAGGGGAAGAAATGCCTCAGTTGTTTCCTTAGCACCATAGTAGTTTGTTCTTAGGCATTTTTTAGCCATCTCACAAGTTTGAGGTAGCTCCTTCCAGTTAATTTTTGATGGCACCTGCATTAGTGTAAAAGAAGCCAAATGATTTTTAGAACCCTCTACTATAGAGAAAGTAATAGCCTCGCAGAGTGTAAAGAAAAACTTCTCACTGACCATGCCATCTGTATTGAACCCATTGATTCCTGCATTGTTCACCTGCACATGAATTTGACAATTGTTAAGTAATCCTTCATCTTAAGAAAAAAGATACAGGCTATTGCTATGTTGAAGTCATTCAGATTTTTCAACATAATCCATTTAAGTCATGGAAAGTTTTTTATACCAACTCTAAACTCTGAATCAGGGATGGTGTCAGCCAGATCAGGCTGTTTTCATAAATATGGGCTCATTAATTTTGCAGATCAATCAAAATATTTTGTAAGCTTGTATGTGAGTACCATTCTTGTTACAAATATGAAGTTCAATCATAGGAAAACTTAATATGGAAAAGATGAAGAATTTGACCATTAAGAAGATGCATAAGAACAAGGGAAGATCTTGGACAAACACTGTTCATCAATAGTTTTGTGTTTGTGCATCAGAATCACCAGACAAATGGTATTTGAGAACCATATTATTCAATTGACCCAACTAAGTGGGGGCACAATGCAAGATTCCATGCATTGTCATATATATTAAAAGTTTATCAAACTCCCTTTAAACAAAAAAAGGAGGAAATAGTAAAAAAAGGAAAAGCATATCTCAGAATATGAAGTATAAGATCAAAATCTTACCAATATATCAAGTCTCCCAAACTGGGTCTTAACAAACTCAACCAAAGATGCAATACTAGCAGGATCAGTGACATCAAGCTGGTGAAACACCACAAGGCCAGAAAAGCCAAACTCTTTCTCCAATTCCTCAACAGCTCGATAGCCCCTCTTCACATCCCTGGCTGTGAGCACCACCTTGACTCCATTTGAGGCCAACCCTTTCACAGTCTCCAATCCTATCCCTTTGTTTGCACCTGTCACAACAGCATATCTGAAAAACACAAACAAATCCTTAAAATGGTAATTACCAAATACAAATCACATACACTACAAGGGAACGGGTATGTAACCATGTATGTTGGACCCATAATTTCATAAAAAGAGAGAAAGTAGTACCTTTCTTTTGCATCTGCCATACCCATAGTTGTTGAATCTGGATGAATTGGATGCAGAAGGAGAAGAACAATATTTAAAGTGGAAGACGCCTATAAAAATAATGTAAGTTCAATTTTCTCAATCATGAAATAAAAAGTTAGCACCCTATTATATAGTCATGTGGGTTGGAACATATTTTAGCATCTGTATTAAATATTACTTTGACATTTTTGTCAGTGATGTGAGGTTGTCTATATTATAAATGGTTATCTATATGTCTTCTGGATGTTGGCCAAAAAGTAAAAAGAAGAATGGTTATTGATCTCTTCTGGATTCTTTTCTAGTACCATACTACAATTCGCTCATCTAGAAAAAAGTTGAAAAACTGATTATAATAGCCAGAAGAAGAAGAAGTGATGATGGAGACAATCGACACAGATAAAATCCGCAAAATCCCTTGAGGGGCTTACCTAACAAAACAGTAATTGCACACCGCAAACGACTTTCACTCTAGATCGATTGACTTTGGGTATTTTGAACTCATTTCCACTGTTAATTATTATTTACCCTGTTTGTTAGTACAGAAAGACAACAGAGAAAAAACAGAATGATTAAAGGGACGATTTTTAAATTAAGATTTTGTTTATTGCAGCTACTCGGACCTAGGAATGAAAGTAATGTTGTTTTTTATATTTATTTTGTTTATATTTAAATTTGACGAAATTTATATTTAAATTTATTATTCTTTCTAAGTCATATATATATATAATAAAATATATTATCAAATTAATTTATTTTATGTATATTTTTTAATAAAATAAATTTATTTTTATTTTATTATAAAAATAATTAATATTTTATAAAATAGATAAGTTTATAAAGTTACAAATCTGATCTAAATTCATTTAGGTTTGACTTAAATAAATCGAAGTTAAAATTAGTTTGATTTTATTTAAATAATAAATTTTCTAGTTTAATTTGACTTATTTTTTTAAATTTTTTTGAATTAATTCATCGAACTAAGTCTATCTTAATTTAAGATAATGATAATATTGTTAGTAGTCCAAATAGAATTTGATGAAATTTGATTTTTATATTAATTTTTTGGATATTGTATTATACTCATGAATATTAGTTAAAAATCAATAATTATGATCCAATAAAATAAAAAATATGAGATTTTATTCTATATTATATTAATGACTTTCAGTTAGAAATCAATTATTATAATTAGATAAGATAAAACTCTTGGTATTTTTTTTAATCTAATACAATTTAGGCTTAGCATTATAAATCATGATTTATTGAAACAATGTTTATATTTTTACTTCATAGAATCAAATATGAGGTATTTTTGAATTTTTTCTTATTTGGTTGTTTTTAAATAAGAAAGTTTCTTTTTTTTTTAAATATTAATTCCTAATTGCACACGTGATTCAATTTGTTCTATTTTCTAAAGTAGGAAGTGACCTGTCCCAAATATTTTATTATAATAAGGTGGAACTAGAACACATGTTTGGATTACTTTTTTTATAAAACTAAATAAATTTATTTTTTATAAATTCATTTATATATAAGTTAAAAATTTAAAAATTATATAAAATAATTTTAATAAATTAAATTATTCATAAATTAATTTTAATTTATACAAAAAAATAAAATATTTTAATTTTATCAGTAGTTTGCATTTAAAAAAAATAAATGAGGTACCACAATAAATAATAATAATAATAATAAATTATTTATATTATCATAATTAATTTAATTTATCAATTTTATTTGTATTTTGAAAAGCAACTTTTATTTGTTAAGAAAAGTATCTTATCATTTATTTTAATTTTTCTAATATGATTTACATGTATATTAGTTATTTTAATTTATATTATTAATTAATTTTAGCATAAAATATGATATTGTTATCTCATTTTTATTATTAATATATCATTTATCATTATTATTATTATTATATTTATTATTTTCATCTTTACTATCATTATTAGAATTATAGATGTAAATTTTACTTATGAAGATTAAACCAAAAATATAATTGGTGGAAAAAAATTATTTGAAATCACAATTTATGTAAACTTTCTAAATATCATTTGGGCAACTGGTCAAACAAAATTCCAATATTAACTTTAGGATTGTTGCACAATTCAAAGGTTCCAATTACTGTTATGCAATTAATAAGGCTAAAATGAAATACACATAATCTTAGTAAGTTAGTTCTAGAAACAATAAAACTTCAAAACCCTACGACTCAATTTATCCATGAAATCACGCCAGTGCCTTAATTATGGTGCACCACTTTCAAGGTAGTTCCAACTAATAAAACCTGCATGCAATTTTCAAACCATTTATGAAAGTTGGTCAAAATGAGAATGATAAGGATATGCTTTGTCTTGTCTTATTTTTTAAATTTATATTTTTATTTAATAATAAATTATGGTTGATTTAATGTTTAAAATTATTATTATAAATAATTATGCATAGATTTTCGGTAGATAATTATCGTTAAAAAAATCTAATTAGATTTAATAGATTTTTTATTTTATTTTGTAATCACATTTTTTCATTCACAAAATTTGAAATGTGGTTAACTGGCACTTTCCCATTGACTTGGTAGAGCGCAGAGGAAACGGGTGGACCCGCCTACACCAAAGTCTCACCTTCGAGAAAATGTACATCGTCACTGCTCTCGTGTTCCAAACCCTTCCGATAACTAGTTTCAGACTTTTCCTTTTTCATCCTAAATTACAATGCATTTTTTTTCCTGTTCTTCTGAACTTCTAGAAAAGAAACACCCCACCTTTGACTTTAAAATGTGTATTTAACCTTTTCTCAAAATAAGTGGCGAAAATTTATTATTTGATTATAGGATAAAATAAAGAAATATCTTTATTATTTTCTTAGGATATCGTTCTTTTTACTTCACTCACTCACATTGAACTCAATTCTTGCATTTATTCGATCCACATCTTTTTCAAACTCTGATAATAAGATATTTTTAGCGATTTCTGATAAATTCCAAATTATGTTGAGGGATGTCTCATAAATTTTAATCGTCTATTTCTTTTTGTCAAAAAATTTAAAAACAACAGTTATACACTATGTTTTTAATGGCGCAATATTTTAATTTAATTTAAGGAATGATTGATTTGAAAAAAAATGGTTTTAAATTAAATACATGACCTTATTTTCACTTAATTTTTTGTTTTGAAAGTTTACATAAATACTTTTTTATTTTTCGATGTTTTCTTTTTTTCATAAAATTTCAAAAATGAGAAACAAATAAAAATAAGGTGACATTTTTCTAATTATAATTTTTTTTCTCAAACTAAATTACTCTTTAACATTTTTATTTTTCGTTTGTAAATTTTTTAATTTGTGCACTTTTCATGTTATTTTTCTGAATAATGGGATACAATAATTAAAGTAAGTGTAAAATATATATATATATATATATATATATATATATATATATATATAATTATTTATTGATGAATTATCAAGAGTTTTGTAAATTCCATCTACTTAATCAGATACTGTACTGTAACCATTCTTCCTCCATTTGACTTAAATAGGGTTATGTAAGTTAAAATGAATCCGAATTTATTCATTTGAGAATATTTCCAAACATATCATCACTTACGAAACTATATCACTTTTAATATAAAACTACCACACAAATTTATTTGAAAAATATATTTGTTAAAAATATAAAATACTCAAAACAACTAAAATATATATTTTCAACAAATACAAATTTTATTAGTTTCTCATAATGGATTATTATTTTTATTTTCTGATTCTTAATTCTTTAATAGTCTTCATTTATTGATCTTTTATTAAATATTATTGTTTGAAAATTATTCATGTCATAATTGTAAGGATCATATAAATCACTACTATAACAATGACTTCACAAAATAGTAAATAAGTAAATAACGATATTTATCTTACATTATATTACCTGTAATTGTAACAGATTAAAATTATGATTCACTAACGAAACCTCAAAATATAGTAACATAATTTATTTATATATTATACATGTAAAAGTAGCTCCTCGAAACTATCCCTGTTGTCCAGTATTCACATTTCCATCTCTCAACTCTTCTGCTCCCACATAAAAGTGATCATGACAGTCTCATCTACATGGAAAAATAGGGGTAAATATTAAAGCATTCGATATAATAAAACAGATATAGAAGTAATAATTATATATTATGATCAATTACAAAATCATTAACACACTAAGACACATTCCAGAAGTATACCCTAACTATGCCCGAACTCAGAGGCTATCGGCACATTGTGATCGACACCCGTATTACCATTCTAACCACCCTCCACACAGAGTAGGATTACTGGCGCCCTTCATCACTCATACTGGAGTACCCCTCCGAGCGCGCCATCAGTCATCCCCCATCGACTTCTCACCACCTGATCTCGTAGTCTACAGTGGCGGATCTTCTTGGGAGCTGAGGGGGACCGTGACCCCCCAAAGTTTTATAACTCCCATGTAATTTATGATTTTGGCCCCCCCAAACTTAATAAACATTTAATATATTTACTTGTATATTTGCAATTCTATCCTCTCAGCCCCTCTTCAATTTTGTAACTCCCATGTAATTTATGACTTTGTCCCCCTCAAACTTAATTATCATTTAATATATTTAAATATATATTTACAATTTTATCCTTTTACCCTTTCATCTTCTTTCTTCCTTTTATATTTATTTATTATTTATTAATAATATATTATTTGGCCCCCCAAGATCAATGGTCAAGATCCGCCACTGGTAGTCTACCTGACCCGACCAATGAGTGAAGTATGGGACCTCATTCAGAATCCTCCAACATAGTTACTACACTAATGTACTATGTACTACCCTCGGGTACCATTCAAACACAACAAAAATCATTCACATATGCCGAATTCTGGACCACCTGTCCCTACGGCTCATTTGGTTCAATAAATAATAGTATTTGATTGATTCTGGACACCAACCCTCCGGCTCAGTCTAGCCAATATATAACGTCTCATGACTGATTTTGGGCATCATCCCTCAAACTCAGTTTGACCCACACACGTCACAACACTCACTCATATTGAACTCAATTATTGCATTTATTCGATCTACATCTTTTTCAAACTCTGATAATAAGATATTTTTAGCGATTTCTGATAAATTCCAAATTATGTTGAGGGATGTTTCATAAATTTTAATCGTCTATTTCTTTTTGTCAAAAAATTTAAAAACTGGCGCAATATTTTAATTTAAGGAATGATTGATTTGAAAAAAAATGGTTTTAAATTAAATACATGACCTTATTTTCACTTAATTTTTTGTTTTGAAAGTTTACATAAATACTTTTTTATTTTTCGATGTTTTCTTTTTTTCATAAAATTTCAAAAATGAGAAACAAATAAAAATAAGGTGACATTTTTCTAATTATAATTTTTTTTCTCAAACTAAATTACTCTTTAACATTTTTATTTTTCGTTTGTAAATTTTTTAATTTGTGCACTTTTCATGTTATTTTTCTGAATAATGGGATACAATAATTAAAGTAAGTGTATATATATATATATATATATATATATATATATATATATATATATATATATACACTAACAAATAGTTCAACGTCGTTCATAAACCGACGTTGAAGTTAACTTTTAATTGAAAGTATAATTTTTTAAATTAATAATTTTTATTTATTTACAACCCCTTTACCCCCTCTCTTTATATTTTTTAGAAGTTTATTAATTTTTTAAGAGAATTGTCATTGGTAGGATTCGAACCCGTAACTTTAGAGTTGGAGGTCGATACTCCGACCACTAAACTACTGGAATTTTTTGATAATAACTTACAAATAAATTATATTTATATACAAATAAATATATATCCGTGTAAATATATAAATACAAATATATTTATATATTTTGATATATTTATATAGTTATATATTTATATGTTGAATGTGAGGGTACACTCGAAAGTGAAAGTGTGTGTCGAGTAGGTTTTCAAAATTTGATGCTAAATTTGTGAGCAGGTATCTTTATATGAGTTTGTAATTTAATGACATAATATAATCTTTATAATTTTATTTATATAATAATATAAAATAAATTTGGGAAACGCGTTATTCGCTCTCAAGCGAAAAATACCAATTTTCGCTCAAGCGAGACTTGAGTGAGTGAATTTCCGTGAGCTTTAACATATTTTCACTCAAGCGAGAGTCAATCACACTTTCACCCTCGGTCAAAAAATACCAATATAATTTATTTGTAAGTTATTATCAAAAAATTGTAGTAGTTTAGTGGTTGGGATATTAACTTACAACCCTAAAATACTGGGTTCAAATGTCGTCGATGACAATTCATTAACTTAAGTGAATTTTTGGCTGAAAAAAATAAAAATACTTTCCAGAAAATATATACAAATAAATATATATTTACATGGATATATATTTATTTGTATATAAATATAATTTATTTGTAAGTTATTATCAGGAATTTATAATAGTTTAGTGGTTAGAGTATTAGTTTCCAATTCTAAAATCCCGAGTTCGAATCCCGATAGATGACAATTTTCAAATTTAAGTGGATTTTTGGGTGAAAAAAAAACGACTTTCCACGCTCGGTAAGTGTCAATAAGTAAAAAAAAAATAAAAAAAAAAAGACTTTCAACGCTCGGCTCATATGGGAACTGACGTAAAAGTACTTTCACGTCGGTTGACTAAGAACCGACGTAGAATGTGTTTAATATTCAACTTTCAATGTCGTCTCAGTTATAACCGACGTTAAATGACAACGTAGAAAGTATATTTTGTAGTATATATATATATATATATATATATATATATATATATATATATAATTATTGATGAATTATCAAGAGTTTTGTAAATTCCATCTACTTAATCGGATATTGTACTCGTAACCATTCTTCCTCCATTTGACTTAAATAGGGTTATGTAAGTTAAAATGAATCCGAATTTATTCATTTGAGAATATTTCCAAACATATCATCACTTACGAAACTATATCACTTTTAATATAAAACCACCACACAAATTTATTTCAAAAATATATTTGTTAAAAATATAAAAATACTCAAAACAACTAAAATATATATTTTCAACAAATACAAATTTTATTAGTTTCTGACAATGGATTATTATTTTTATTTTCTGATTCTTAATTATTTAATAGTCTTCATTTATTGATCCTTTATTAAAGATTATTGTTTGGAAATTATTCATGTCATAATTGTAACGATCCTATAAATCACTACTATAACAATAACTTCGCAAAATAGTAAACAAGTAAATAACAACATTTATCTTACATTATATTACTGTAATTGTAACACAGATTGAAATTTCGATTCACTAACGGAACCTCAAAATATAGTAACATAATTTATTTATATATTATACATGTAAAAGTAGCTCCCTCGAAACTATCCCACTGAACTATCTCTATTGTCCAGTATTCACATTTCCATCTCTCAACTCCTGATCTGCTCCCACATAAAAGTGATCATCGCAGTCTCATCTACATGGAAAAATAGGGGTAAGTATTAAATCATTCGATATAATAAAACAGATATAGAAGTAATAATTATATATTATGATCAATTACAAAATCATTAACACACTAAGATACCTTCCG